TGTTGTATAGTAGTTGTTGTTGTTGATGATGTTGTAGTTGTTGTTGTTGATTATGTTGTAGTTGTTGTTGTTGATTATGTTGTTGATGTTGTAGAAGTTGTTGTTGTAGTTGTTGTGGTTGATTATGTTGTTGATGTTGCTGTTGTTGTAGTTGTTGTGGTTGATTATGTTGTTGATGTTGATGCTGTTGTAGTTGATGTTGTTGTTGATGATGTTGTTGTTGTTGTTGTTGTCGATTTAAAACGTGACAATAAGAATGTTGACGCGTTCGTCCTTGACATTCAACAAAACGTTTCTTTCTCCACTGAATCATGTGAGCAAGGTTTGAACAAGATGGGCCATGACGAAGGTAAGAATTATGACTGTTATTGTTATTATTAATATTATTAATGATATTATTATTATTATTTGTATTATTATTATTATTATTATTATTATTGTTGTTGTTGTTGTTATTATTATTATTATTATAAGAATGTTGACAAAAATGTTCGCGACAACTTGGCTTGCAATATTTTCGCTGATAAATATGCCGGGAAGGAAGTTGTTGTTGGTGATGCTGTTGTTGTTGTTGATGATGATGGTGTTGTTGTTGTTGTTGATGATGACGATGGTGTTGTTGTTGTTGATGATGAAAAATTTTAATAACCACTTCATCTTCATCATCATCATCATATTTGTAATCGTCATCATCGCGATAAGATTTGTTGACGTAATTTCTATTTATATCATTATCATCATTATCATCACTAAAAATATCATCATCACCACTGTTATTTCTGTTGATATTATCCATCTTGTCATCCTCCCCATCATCATCATCACCATTATTATCATCATCACCATCACCAGCATCAACATCATCATCATGATTTTCAAAATTTTCATCATCGTCGTCGTCGTTATCATCATCACTTCCATGATTATAAATTTTAAAGTTGTGGTGGTGGTCGTTGTTGGGGTCGATGTTAAGCACGCTGTTGGGAGTGCCCGTCTGCGATGAGTTGTTGTCGTTGTCGTTGATGTTGTTGTTGATGTTGTTGTTATTAATGCTGTTGATGTGGTTGTTGTTGTTTTTGATGTTGTTGATGTGGTTGATGTTCTTGTTGTAGTAGTTGAGGCAGTTATTGTTGCTAATGTTTGCAAATCGTATGACATCAATTTTTTTACCGTTAATATTCCTGTTGATGTTGTTGATTTTTTCACTACTCATGACGAAGGTACTGTTGTAAATGATAAAGCCGTTGCTGTTGTCGTTGTTGTTGTTTATGTTGTTGTTGTTGATGTTGATATTGTTGTTGTTGTTTCTGTTATTGCTATTGTTGTTGATGTTGTTGTTGTTGATGTTGTTTTCGTAGTAGGAATGACTCTTTGCAGGGCGATAAGGCATGCTAGAAATGTTATTAACATTGTAGGTGATGTAATGATTAATGTTATCAATCTTGATGTTATTGATGCTTCTGCTGGGTTCGCTTGCATTTCTTCTTTTGTTGCTGGTTAACATTTTATTATTATTATTATTATTATTGTTATTGTTGTTGTTATTGTTGTTGTTTTTGTTTTTATTTTTGTTGTTACTGTTGTTCCGCAGTCTCCTCCTGGCGTTGGCGAACCAATTAGAAACCTGTTCGCCGAAAAAATGTAAACGAGTGAACCAGTGAGGCAAACACGCGTGAACAGATGTGAAAAGATATGAAAAAAAATGTATACTGATTTGAACTGCACTATGAACATGTATTAACATTAGAAGATGAAAGCTCATGCTAACAGTTAAACATGAATGTTAACGTTAAAGAGAAACGCAGACGCAAAACATTGGGGATCTTATGATGGAGTGTTAACTTCACCCCATAAAAAATGACAATCTTTAACTCTAAAAGAATCTAATACACTAATGGTACATTACCATTCTTTTGTTCGTACAAACATTTGTAAAACAAAAAACTAAAAAACAATGCCTCAACAACAAACCACCATCACCAGGTCACCATCACCCATCACACTACCACCCACCACATTTCCACCCACCACTCACCACCACCAAAGCTACCCACCACACTACCACTCACCACAACACCACCCACAACACCACCAACCACCACCCACAACACCACCACCAAAGCAACCCCCACCTGTGTGATGGTGAGATCACACTTGTTTGCCAGCTTCAACTTGTCAGCCATTGTGGGATAAGGGGAGTGGTCGTTGGTAGCCAGCCACAGCTTCAAGGGCTTCGAGTTTTCCTGAAGAACTCGTGGTGGCCGCAAGTTGGTGAGGTTTGTTGGGCTGGTTGGAGGGTAAAAAAATGTTTTGTATGTGAGGATTTGTACAAAAAAGATTATTTAGAAAGAGTAATTGTGGTTGGGTCCCTAATACTACTACTACTATTAATACTACTACTACTAAGGATTAATTCAACTATTAATTAATAAAAATACTATTAATTCATAAGTGAATGAATTACTGAATTAATGAATTAATTATTTGAGTGCATCATCAT